ACAGTTTTCCTCCCCATCTTCAAGATGTTTTTATCTTTAGTCGACTAATCTGAGTGACTGCTTGCTGAAATGACACTCGACCATCTCAGCAGTGTTACCGTCCTTGGGATAAGTCATAAATTTCTTCTTAATCATGACCAATACCTAGCCAGCTAACCTTTTATGCAACTATGACAGACCGGTAACTGGATCTAGCACACCGCAACCAAAAGGCCTTGATTCGGCTTCCCACTATCCAGAGGCCTTCGGAATGAAATCAACTGATTTATGCCCTACCTCGGGCGGGGATCAGACCGTGCCTGAAAAGAGGAAACGTGTAAGGTTGGAATATGAAGCAACCACAAGCGGTTCGCCACAACCCCTAGCACTTTCTCCATGGAAGGAAGGCTGCATTACGACGCCCGATGGCCGCACTGCTTGCACCAAAGACGTTTCGGTAGTCGATGAGGCATTTGCATGCAACCTATGTCACCGATGGGCGCACTGCCACTGCGACACCGAAGTAACCCGACAATACTACAAGCTGATGAAGAGGCGGTCATGCAAATGGTTCTGGTATGTTCGTCCAGAGTTCAGGAAGCTGCCCGCACTCCACGAGGAAAGCCTGGAACCAGTGCTCTCCGCCATGCAAGGGCCACCAACATCCCTGAATGATGTTAACATTGAAGGGTAACACAAAGGGGCCTGAAGCAAAGCAAGGTCTCTATCTATGCACGCGCAACCACTCGCGGGGACAACATTAGGTTAAGCCTCTGTACTCCCCACCAAGCCTCAGACAGCTTCGAGCGCATGGCTGAGGATACCGACCGTCAAACCCTCCACGAAACCCATCCCAAACATCCCAGACGCTGTGACAAGGAAGCGTCTAGTGGAAATGCACGGTAAACCCAATGGGAAGTTGGGCGCGCCACCCACAGCGAACGCAAGCCACGGAAGGGCAAACTCGACCATCTTGTTCAACGTCGATTTATTGACGGACCCATTTTCGGTGGAGAGAGAACGGTTTGATGGCCGAGTGTGGACTGACCACTGCCAGGTTCTGGGCCCCCCTTCTCCCTGCAACACTGCACCACCTGTCTGGCAGAAGCCGGGCACCACGAGAAGAGCTGCCCCCTTTACGTGCGTCCCTGAACATCTCCAAAGAAGCCGAAGACACCCTCCTCCTCTTGCGCCAACCGGACGTTGCTAACACCTAAAAAATTCTGGCCGAGCCTAACAGTCCATGGCCTATAAGAGAGGAAGAGAGAAAATCGGTGGTTGGGAGTCCGAACAGAAACAGCTGTATAGTTGTACATGGGATTCCAGAACTGCCAAGTAACCACTCGGCTAAAGATCGGCACTTCCTCAATGTCCAGCGATGGCGATGGCGATGGCTCTCAACCAAAGTCGATCTCGACGGTGCACCAGCCACCAGCGTCAGTGGACTGCCAAGACCAGCTCACCTGAATTCCATACCCACTCCTAGACTACTCGCCATCCAATTCGACTCACATGTCCCCCTCACAGATGTTCTGCACGCATGGTACGATGTGAAAGGCCGCATGGGTGGCTCATAACGCATGCGTGAAAATAAGCCTAGACTCACTAGACAAGGGAAAGGCAGCTGCTGCCAAGGCCTCTGCAGTCGATGGTTGTCACACCGGCACTGACCAGTGAGTCAGGTACTTCGAGTAAAAAGGCTCTCCCTGTCACAGCCCACCAAGTTGAAAATAGAACACAAAAGTAAAGGTAATGCCAGTCTCACGAGGGCCGACGACGCCAAACGCAACCACGTAAGCGCCCTCCTCACGAAAATTCACAATCGACCCTCCCCTGTCGCCAGGCGCGCTCTAACATGTGTGTATGGCAACGTTAGGAGGGTCAGACAGAAGGTAGGAGAGATTAGGGCTCTGCGTGAACGTCAGCACTCTGACATCATAGTCATCACGGAATTCTGGCTCTCGCCAGACATCTCCGACGAAGAGATGCAGGTCACTGGCACGGGACTCTTCCACAGGGGCAGAGGGTCAGAGCGGAAGAGTGAGTGGCTCTCCACGTAAGCTCTCGTTTAAAGTCATGGGCAGTTAGCGATACCGCCTTAACCTAGCTCCCAGAATATCCCTGGTGCCACCTCACTTCCACTGTACCAAATATCTGCTTGGAGTCATGCATTGGTCCCCCACCGGCTCCCCTATACATAAGGAAATGGTCATCAAAGCAACCTTGACGACTTCGGCTGCAGATTCCGATTCCGTAATCATTGCCGGTGACTTCAACACCCCATCCATCCCCTTCGAGAGGGAAGGGAGACACTTCACATCCTCCAGTCAGAAGCTAAGGAATGCAATTAAGACCACTTGCCTCTCACAGAAAGTGGGTGATGCCACAGGCTGGGGACCTGACGGAAACGCATCGCGCCTTGACTAAGCTCAGATGAATGATGGCCTTCTCACTAAAGATCTACGCATCCATCCTCCCCCTAGCCTCAGTGATCACGCAGTCATGATCTTCTGAATGATTGCTGGGGAGTCTCCACAACCGGTGATGCCCAACACTTTCCTCTGCTACGGTGAAGCTAGCTACGAGATCACGGGGGCTTTCTTATGAGTGCATGATGGCCGATAGACTGAACACATCCCACGGCAGACGAACACTGGTTACAAGTGAAGAAAATAATCGTTGGGACCATCAGTCACGACGTACCAGAGGTAACACGCAGGCTGCCAGTGAACCTCATGTCTAAAGCTTGGGACAGAAAGGCTAATTCGGAGCAAAATCAGGCTTGGTCCAAGTGGCGTTTGTCACGCAGGGAGTCTGACTTTTTGGACGACAAAAGGGTTCGCAACCACAGTGACATAAGAGGGCATAGCGGCAGATTGTCCTATCAAACAAACCTTGCACCATCTTGTCACCCATCTTCAAGGGAGGAGACAGAAAAAGCTCCGGCACCTACGGGCCAATTGCCCTACTCTCTGTGGTGCAGAAAGTGTTAGAGAGCCTGGTAGCTGACACCATCTGGAAACTTCTGGATGGAGAAAACACTGTGCGCACTGTTCAGCATGGATTCGGAGTGGTCGCTCATGTGCCACTAACTTACTAACCTCCTGGAACGACTGGGCACCAAGTTGGGATAACAGAACACTGGCGTATATTGTTTTCTCAACCTAACTAAAGCGCTTGACAGTGTCCCGCCCACATTCCTGCTTCACAAGATCATGTCAGTGAACCCCCACTCTCTTGGTTTGAAGACTACCTGGAAAGGAGGCAGTTCTTCACCAAAGTAAACAGAATGAGGTCGGAGTGGAGACCATCGACGTCAGGAGTATCCCAAGGAGCAATCCTAGGACCACTTCTGTTCCTGCAGTCTGTCAGTGATCTGCCACACAAAATATCCTCATCCACCTTCCGCTTCGCCAGTGACATTAGAATTTGGAGGGTGGTAAACGAAGAAGCTGACTGTACAACACTACAAAGTGACTTGCTGCAACTCAAACTCCTGTCGTCAGGAAATGACTTGAGCCTCAACCTTCAAAAGCGCAAGGTAACGGAAATCAGTAAACATGAAGCAAGTATGGCCAACTTCCGGTACATGGTGGGCAGCTGTGTTGTCACCAGAGTGTCTACGGAGAAAGAACTGGGGCTCAACTTCGCCGACACCCTGAATACCAGCTCCAACTACCACAGCGAACGCTATTTTGCACTTTCTTCGCGGACAGCTTGGCGCCCCCGCCCCTAAACTCCTCCTCACCGTATTCAAAGACTGCTCGCGGCTGCATCCAGAGGTCTTCGATGCCGAAGCCCCCCAACACTAAAGAGAGACTCTAATCACTTTGAAAAAAATACAAAGATGCGAAACAAAATCAGTTGTGGAGCTAGGGGGAAGGCAATTCCTGAAAGACTTGAGTACCTGAGCGTATTCAACTTGGTTTATCGCAGGAGGGGGCAGACCTTGTTATTGCCTACAAGATCGCCCATCAGGCAAACCCCGCAAACAAATCAATTTTGCCTGCAACAGCGGTCTTCACGAGGAAACCCCGTTAAGATAGCACAGAGTCAATACCATACTCAGGCCCAATTTTTTCTCCCTGAGAGTATGGGCCTTATGGAGTGCCCTGCCGCAGCATATCGCCACAGCACCCTCGGTGGACTCGTTCAAGAAACGGCTAGACAGTTATGTCATGTCGAATGGTGCACCACGGACGTACTCAGGGAGTCACCAAACTCACCAGTCCGCCCTCAACTCCCTCCTACCCACCACTAGCTATCTCGCTCCTTACCACACCCACATTACCTTCCAATTCTTTTCTACCAAGTGGACCTACGCCATCTATTTTTACCATTCGGGCAGTTCCCACATACCTTTCTCTTTCCTTTATTTCTCTTCTTTACCTCCTCCCCTTTCTTCTTTTTCTCTGTTTCTTTTTTTCCCTCTTCCTTTGTCCTCTTTTTGTCTTTTTTCTACTTAATTCTTTTCATTCTTTACTGCTACCTTAATATTCCCTTTCAGGTACCTACACAGACAGGAGTCATGACAGTCCCCCAACCGTCCCTGCAATCCGTAGCTCCCCAGTCACTTTACAAATTACAGCTTACTAACCCAAGAAAAGCCAACCGCTAGAGTGAACCAAACAACTCGAAGCAAGCCCTGAGAACCACATGCGAGTGATCAAGACTATCAAATTCCTACGCTCGCACTATCAATATTGGATATTGGATGTCAGCTTGTGAAACGAATGTTAACTATTGACAATGTAGATAAATAAAACATATTTCATTGTCATGGGCATTTGCGCTGAATTAAATCAGATTTCCGAACACATAGGCTTATGAATTTCTTGTAGCATTGGAACTAAGACCTTTGATTGTTTTAACCCTTCACTTTTCAAAAGTAGGCATCGCAGTGAGGTGGTACAACTTTAATGTCAGGGTCGTCCTGATTTAAGGTAATTTTTATTTTCAATCAGCTTTGAACAAGATAGTTTTCAGAAGCTACTGCCTAAAATTCACTTCCATCTACACATATGAGTGACCCTGTACAAGACGTTCACAGTCAATTAAAGGTAGGAATCTCAGTTTCTCACCTTTAAAACCTGGTGTGATTCGATAAAACTACATTTTATAACACTAGACTTCATTGTAAATGCTTTGAAACCAATGAAAAATCATAATGTTGTGGTCTTCATTGTATGCTCTAGTAATGACGTCCCATTTTATACCTCACGATACATTTTTAATCATTTTTGTCAGCATAGGGTTTTTGTCTGATTGGTTGTCTACAGGTTAATGTTTCCCAGTTAATTTTCCTTTATTTGTGACTATTTCATTTCTTTCAACTTATTCACCATGAATCCCCATTGTTATTTTGTGGTATTATTAGCACTGCGAATGAATTCAGAACACTGTTCCAGAATCGGAAGCTGAAAAGATGATGGGCTAATTTTTTTTCGTATGGCCTAGTTAGCAATATATTACATCTTATTTATCAAGCACCAATACTCTGTTCATAAGCCGTTCTGAGTGAAAAACAGTGCATTCTGCACTTTTAAGCCCACCAAGACAAATTTAATGGTGTTATTTTGTGTTCAAGAATATTCGTTTGAGTCATCGTGTATCACTTGAAGCCATGAAAAATTTGCTTTGACAGCAGCCCAAATTTTAGATCTTGTTTCTAATATGGGTTTTCGATGGGCTATTGTAAACCACTTGATTTCTTCATGCTCTGTGAATGAATTTAAAAAAGGGTGTTGTATGAAAAATTTCGTGATTACATTTTGTGAGCAAACTATGTACACTCATAGGTTTTTTTAGTCTTTAATTTAGGCTTCAACCCAACCCTAGAAAACTTTCAAGGAATGAACGAGGGCTCTTGTGAGTTTTACGGATCAAACTGGTTCCTTAATATCTTATTTAACTAGTCTCATATTTCACAATCAGAATAAGATTTTTAGTTTAAGGATAGAAGATCATAAACAAGTATTGATCCCTTCCCACTAGATGCTTCTTTTTGTCCTGTTGTCTTAAACGAATCAGCGGATGACGTGGCAACCACTTCTTCACGAAGTCGGTCCTAAGAGTTGATAACTCTAAGCGAAAACAATTACTCTATGTATACCGCGTTCTTCTTTTAGTTTTGTGCTTTCTTACCACATCCTTTGACTTTTCACACCCGGTAAGTGGGAAAAAGGAGGACAGATAAGGCCGAAAGTCAGCTTTTAAAATCAAGCATAGCACTTAGAGATCTCTTTTCTGTTTTCAACACCATAAGAAGAGATTCCACTACTGCAGTCGTTCTTTGAAGGTTACACTAGCCACTTCAGGGGTCCTGCAAGTGACCATCCTATGGATTGCTTCCAGAAGGTTCAAGTCACTTTTCAGAAAAGCATTTGCCACTTATATTTTAGACCTAACTAGGTACGTCTATAAGTAGACAGATATGTCACCGATTATTTTAGTAAGAGTTCTGCGTGTTGCTTAAAATGTCTTAAAACTTAGAGCTGTGACCAACTTACAGTGCGTTATGTTCGTCAGATCGTGATTCACTGCAACTCTTAGATCATTTTAAATCAATACTGGTGTCAGAAGCGTCATATCAATATCTCAGGTGTTGTGGCCTGTTTTGACAGATATCAGAAGTCTCGCTGATTAGATTAGAAACTCTTTAAATCCGTTTGAAACAGACATGCACCTTCATCGTCTCAGCTTTTGCATCATAAGCACATCCCATAGGGGATTTCTTGATACTCGTGGACCCATTTACTTACAACAGAAATAACAGGGGAACAAGAACTAGCCAAGCAGTAGTCCACTAAGTACCGAATTACAAGGTGAAAGTAGGGATCTGCTCCTTACTCTTTGTCTCCTACCAATAAGGAACTGTCTGATCTATGCAAGTGGATTACCAGTGATCCGAAACTCCCCAGTTACATGAACAACCTTGAATGAGGCATTGTGTCGAAGGCCTTGCTGAAGTCTATCAATATGAAATGTGGAGCTGTCACATTTTTAGACTTAACGTAACTTTCCATTACTATGATAAGGGTTATCAAGCAAGAAAAACCCCTATAATGGAGTGATGCTTTCTAGCTGAATCCCAATGGCTTTCTTTATTGCTGTTTCTAGGATTTTCGCCACAATAAAAGACAAGTTTACCCGTCTGTAATTCGAAGGGTGGTGCCCAGAAAGTGCCTTGTGGATAGGTATAACTAATGGTTTTAGCAGTTCCAAACATGAATAATCCGCAAACTTTCTGATGTCGGTTGATTTTTATCAACCCGGAATAAGGCACTGCTCCTCAAGCTTCAAGAATTCTCATTTTTCATCACAAGAATGCAAGGTGAGATAAGAGGGAAGGTAATGACCCAAAACAATAATATTGAAAATCATAGCAGTATAGAAACCGAATAGAATACCTCCAATATTTTAATGAAAACTTGTTACAGAAAGTATTTTAGCAAGAACAACAGTTGGCATCCTGTAAAATTCTCATCTAAATGATTCCACTTGACTATTCACAAATATGAAAAGGCTGCTAACTTTTTCCTTTATGTAATATCCATGTTCTGTAGGAAAAAACACTCAAATATTATTTTTCTATAGATTAATTTAAAATCAGGGTTTGCATGCAATGATAAGTTTATGGATTTTGGTGATGTTACGAGCAAAGTTATCCAAACTGAAAAATCTTATCATTTTGTGCAAATATTCATTTTGAACTTATAGTAAATTCAATCACTCGATATTGCATATTCTCTACAGAGATTTAGTCAAATAGAATTTAAAGTGAAAAATCACTATTGTTTTTTTATTTGATTGTTTCTGGGAAATACCCTATCCCTAAGTATGTAAGAATTTAACTATTTCTGCGAATTCAACTTACTTTCAAACTTTGATTTTCCAGAAGTAACACCATTTCAGTTACCAAATTTACAGCTTGGGAAAATTATAAAAGTAGCTGCAGCCGTTTCTGACCTGGAATTACTGATAAAAACGAACAAATTTGGCAGTAAAGATGATGCACCTAAAAGGTGGAGATAAATGTTACTGTAACAGTTCCCGATAATGTCAGTTAGTTCAACCGAACAACTAAAGTCGACTTAGATTAATGCACTGAAATACAATAGAGTCTGTTTGTATTTTGAGGGAGTTGTAGAGATTTGGGAATATTTCAAGTTAGTATTCATCGTAGACTGACATCAGTTGGAGGAACAAAGGAAACCTGAGAGCACTGGACAGCTGTTTCATCCTAGTATGGGACTCGTCAGCAGAGCGCACCCACTATCCCACACCACCAGGGATCGAACCAGCGACCTATTTGTATCTTGGTACTGTGTAGTACATGCACACCAAAACAAAAAGTTGTCCACCTATAGATACATCCCTATGCCACGTACTTTCTTTTATGTCGAATGATGCATAAAATCAAAAACACAAAACACTTTCTGCAGAATTATTTCAGTAAGATATGTAGTATTCAATTAACAGCATGAGTTTGCCTTATTGTTTGCACATTATTATTCTGAGTTACTAAATTTTTTCAAACTATTATTCAACAACACTTAAGACATATTTTAATCATTTCAGACAAGTCCTGTGAATAGTACTTCTGAACCTAGATAACCATTATACACAGTACACTATTGGAGAAAAACAGAATTATTCCACCAGAGGCACTGTATTTGAATGCAGATTGTAAAAAGGATTTTTTTAAAAAGTTTATCATGATATCCTTTACTAGGTGTTAGTGGCATCTAAAACTAAATGACTGAACAAAATATTTTTTTGAATAAATTCATCGTAGTTCTCACGATATTTGAGATGGATTGTGATGTTTACAATTTCTCCAATGAAAGCTCTATGAATAATTTCAAATTCTGTTACGAAATATAAAAATGTTTCTATCCATTCATTATTTCATTGAGACATACAGGCAGATAATTTTCCATAGCCATGTATAAAATCTTCGAATAGGTGATGTAACAAATTATTTTGTTTTTATGGTACATGAATAAGATTTAAATAAAAACAAAGAGTAAACTAATCAGAAAGACATTTTAATGATGAACCGTGGCTGGTAGTGGAATCCAGGATGCGCATTTCGTCCTATTAAGGACTCGTCAGCTGGATTTGCCCACCTCCCAGTGAGTGATTTTATTCCTGCAGGGATTCGGACTCGAGAGCGATCGCTTCAAACGCCAGCATGTTATCCACTACACCACTGAGCCACGATAGCCACTTCTTGTGCGATGGGTATAGTTTTAATATAATTGTTTTTGTATCATACCGTTGTTGATTGGACCGAATTGACCAGTCTCTGTTGGCATATGGGCTCCTGTGTGGATGTCTTGATATTGCCTGCGTTCTAATCATATTAATGATGGGTCGTGGCTAGCAGTGGAAGCAGGTACATCCAGCTGACGAGTCCCAAATGGGACGGAGTGCGCATCCTAGATTCCACTGCTAGCCACGACCCATCATTAATATAATTAGAACGCAGGCAGTATCGAGGCATCCGCACAGAAGCCCATATGCCAATAGAGACTGATCAATTCGGTCCAATCAACAACTGTATGATATAAAAACAATTATACTAAATCAGAAAGAGTTTGAAGCTGGAAAAAAGTGAACAAATGTAATTTTTGATAGTTTGTTTTTGGGTAATCCAGAAAGTATGTTTCTTTTTATCTGTAGCTTAGTCTTTTGACATACTTGACTCCATTTAGGTGTTATTATTCAGAGTCGAACCCAGTATCTGTTATCCTATTTGGCTAGGTATCATCTAACAGGTTACTAAGTTATGATAGCTACTTTGGTTGTGAAAAGTTTATGCTGTTAATAGCATCTGAAAGTTTTCTTTCCTAACATCTTCAGCTTTGTATGCAGAATCTGATACTTTTTAGCTTAGGATCATTTTTCATAAAACTTTTATTCCTTTAAGTATCCTTTTTCATACCATAAAGATCTAAATAGCTAAATCATATTAGAGTACTTGATATGAACCACATTTACATACCAAATGTCTTGTTTACATGATTAGTAAAAAGACACTCTAATTTCCGGACTC